AAATTAGGCCGACTACCACGCTATATATATATATATATATACGCATATACCTTTCGATCATTTTTTCATTTCAAAAATTAAATCCACCAATATATTACTGTACCTTTTAATTTCCGCTATCTTTTTAATTTGATAGTTAAGGAAGCAAATGTTTTTTTTTTTCGCTGATGATATCTTCACAGACTTGCAAATATTTCCAATTGATTCATTTTTTTTTGAAACTAAATGCTATTTTTCTTCAACTAATTTCTACTCTTCATCACAAAAAGTTCTTCAATCCAAAAATTAACTGAGATCACAGAAGTATTGCTGTAAATAAATGATACAGTATAATATGGTATGATACGATACTTTTTCTGTTCCTTACTGATAACAGAGTGAAACATTTTGATAAACAAGGAAGAAGAGGAAGAATGGGTGACAATGGTGGAATTCTGAAATTTTGATATAAACATACATGCATACAGATATACCATGCATACAATTATTTTGTGGTTATAACCAAGTGACAATTAAATTAAAATTTTAATATAAAATCAGCATACTTGAGTGAGGGTAAATGTAGGAGAGGACACCGTTTGTGTCCCTCAAAATAACCAGTTTTCGTTGGGCATTCAGTTTCCATCAATTTTAAATAAGTGCTGAATATTAAGTTGTTTACAAGTTGCTTATATTTTTCATAATTATTGAGGGAATGATCATGAAAAAAATCTTGAGAATACTGTGGTACATTATAGTTGCCATATCAAAAAATGCCTCACTCATCCAATAATATCCCCGATGTTGTCCGAAGATATCGAATTTTCGTTTTGTAGGTTTTTCAAAAATTACATATGCGTCTTTCCTACCTTGCCTTCTTCATTATATCTCTAATCATTTTTCCATGGAGGATGTTAAGTTTGACAATAAAATTTTGAAGTTGTGAAAGTAAATTTTTGCTTTAGGAATACATTTGAAGGAATAATTTGTTATTTAGTATCATTTCCGACTTTATTATTTTTGCTATTTTAGAGAAAATTTTCGCAAAAAAAAAAATTACATCCTATAAGAATTGAAAATTTTCAATAACAGTTAAATACTTGTTCGTTTTCTTCTCACCAGTTTCATTTCGGCATGTCAAATAGATTGAATTTCTATATCGCCTTTTCAGGATTCGATGCCACACGACACTCAGTGTATTTGTCAAATATGTATATGTGGGTAAGAGTTAAACTTTGTAATTTGGTTTTTTTTCTTTTTTTTTTTAGTTACAACTAATAATTAAGTAATAACCAATCGCAATTAACTGTATTTATAAATAATTACGATCAAGCTTATTTATAGCTAATTATAATTAAGCAGGGCTGTTTTAAGCTTTTTTTAAGATTTAGCACCACTAACATACCGATAATAGTGCACAAACGTATTTGAAGAGCATTTATTTTAGGCGACATCGCTGCCCAAACGATCGAAATGCAAGCTCGATTTGCATCGGAACCTCAAATCAAAATACTTTTTATAAAAATGCAAGTCAAAATTGACCTTAATTTAATTCGAATAAGTTTACCAACAAGATGATTTCAAAATAATGTAAGGGAAAATTTTTTTTTTGTTTACCACAAAACGAAGATCAATATGTAACAGGAAGATTAATTCTCTAATAATTCGTCTTTAAGAATGAATCGTTCAGGAATATGTAGTAGCCAATGATAGATAATCAATAAAACCGATCATCATGGGATTGATATGATCTTTAATGGGAAATTTTCCTAATCTCCATTAAGAAATAGAAGGAGATCCGAAAAATCATCCGTCGAGAATCATATCGATCTTAGTGATGGATACACAATTAGTATTTGTTTTTATGTCAATTTATTAAATAAGGATAATTTTTGCTACTTTTATACCATTTTTATTTGGCATGAAGGATTTCGATCATTATCTGTAAGAAAATTTTGAAAATTTCAATTTACAATGATTCATTTTTTTTTTTTGTTATAAGAAATACCGCGAAAATGCTGTCGTTGAGAAAAAATACTTTTTTTAGAATATTATCAGTGAAAAGCAACGCGAACAATCAGAAACATTTGCAGCAGCAAATGGAAATGCAAATTTGGCGCAACTTCATACAAATACAGAAGCAAAGACGACAAATGATATGCGTATAACATGGAGTATTTTGCGACGTCGCAATTATGAATCCTCGGTAAAATATTACTTTAAATTGTTGAAGGAAATTGTCATGCATGTTTGCGCTACTACGTTATAAATCATTGAAGTACAAAGTCATAAAAGGTTACCTATCTTACTCATTTTTTACTACCTGAAATCGGAAAGAGAATGACCCTTTTTGCCATTTTTCAAGATATCGATATCCATTTTTAAATCGGAATTAAAACTTGTGACTCTCAGTTTAATAGTCTCTTTACATATCACTTCGTTCACTGAACTGTTCATTGAACTGTCCACTGAATCTTATTTTCACATCTTCCGTTACTTCATAACAATCTTTTTTTTCCAAAAACCTTTCTGAAATTGTCAAATAAAACTTAATTCGAAATATCCTGAAATTGTCATATCTTCAAATTTTATCTAATTTGGAACGATTTCTAGATTGTTTTCGGAAATGTCGAGGACAACAATCTTGTGCAGCCAAAAAAACGAGGCAGAGAAAATGGCGTTGCTTGTGAGAAAATTGAACCATTAATAAAATTACATTGAATTTAATATATGACAAAAATTGTCATTTTTGAAAAAATTTAAAATTTGTCTTTTTGATAGTATGCATTGTGACATTTCAGCTCGACTAATTAATTGTATTTAAGACTGATTTTGTTTAGCTTCACATTGCAGTGATCGACCAAAAATTATCATGTCGGCAGTCCCGGGAATATGAAGATGCTTTAAATGGTGACAATAAGCGTATGATTAAAGTTGGAAGACGAAGAGATCGTTCCGCTGAAACACGTGATAATATCGGCTTGATTTTGCAACCTATCGATGTTAGCAGCTTGATTGGTGCTTAAATTCAAAAGGGAAATTGGAAATTAATGATTTGTAAATGATTTAATAATATTCATTTGTGTCCCACAACAGATCTGTGTATGGTTATGCTTCCATAGTGGACATTACTATATTTTCATAAAGACAATAACTCATAATAGCCATTGAAACAACACTTCTCGATTTCTTTGGTCTTTTATAATAATCAATGCGTTATCAATTAACTTTTGCTGTTTCAGAAAAGCATGAAGTATTCAATAAAAAGCGTATATAATGATGATTACAAAGGTAGGGATGGGGATCGATTTGACAGTTCAAAATCATTTGGTTCGAATGTTTGGAAGGTAAACACTTCTTTCTACAGTGTTATCACTTTTATTATCATTATTTATTCAAGTTTATCCTTAATAAAATGATTATATTATATGACTGATAAACAGCCAAATTATCATTGGCTTTTTAATCTAATATAATTGAATTTCCTCTCAATTGATATTTCTTCGAATATTCATCTATGAATATTCATTTACATCTAATCTGAACAACTCACATATCAAAAGTAGAAGTGAAATTAAATCTAAAAAGTCTTACATAATTTCAATGGATGACATTTACTTGTCATACTATTTTGAAATAACTGCGAATATTCCAGAAGAAAGGGAAATTGCCAGAAGAAATAGTTTTGCGACAAGACTATGATCAAAAAAATGTGCAAGATATTCAATGATGCGTAAGCTACAGGATACAGATTCTGACATCATTCAAGGTGACGGGAAATTCATCGGAGAATCTCAAACAAAAGCTGAATTTACGCCAAAGAAAGGCGAACGTTATGAAATTACACGACCACAAACTTCTGATCTATGGAAGGTGCTGTTAATGATCTTTACGTGAATTTCACATGAATTTAAGAGAATTATATGGAATAACATTAAGTGAAACGGATAGTAGTACTTTTCGAAATTCTTAAATTTGGCAGAGATTCCAGCAAAAAAAAAGAAAATTTAGAAACGGGCATGGAGTCGTTCGAATTAATCTTCTTTGAAACGTGACTATCATACAGCAGTTATACCTATAGATCTGAATTTTTTTGATAACTTCCGCTTGAAACGGTTCAAACTGAGTTATTGCACACTTCCAAATCAAGTTACTGATCAAAAATTTTATTTTAGCTTAGTAATTTTTATTTCTTCAAATAATTCAATTTTGCCTTTAAGCAATATTTAATATATATACAGTCCAAAATTACTGGTTCATTAAATAATTACAGAGAGTTAACGATTTTTTGACACAGGGATTTAGGCTTTAACTCCAACCAGATAAGGTATTTATCGTATATCCAAGGTAATTCCCAAAACTCCTAAACGCTAAACTTTTTAGAATAACCAAAGGTCAAGGTCACTTCTCTTAGTTGACATGCAATCACCTAGGCTATATTATCTATAGGCTCTTGAACAGTATCAAGTTTATTGCGAATGACTGAACGATCTATGTGTAACAAAGGTATCACATGAATAAAGTAGATATTTCTGCCTTAATTGCTGTTTAGTAGCCTCTTCAGTATCTCATCTGTCATTTATTCGACATAGGAAATTTTACTTTCAAATTTATTGGAACTTATTAAGATTTTACACTGAACCTTGAATTTTTATTCAATGTTGAACTTTATCAACTCCCAATTTCCCACGCACCGGCTAGTTTTTGATGGCAAAGAAAAGTGAAAAATGATCAATGATGAAGAAATTGGATTATGACTACTCCTTTCTTTGTAGAACTTTCAAACACATTAAATTAATCGTTCATTTCCAGTCTACTGCAAATTTCTAAAACCCATAAAAATTTGAAAGCCAAAACCTACAATTTTGTCTAACAGAAAAAAAGAAATGATTACTGGGAAAAAGCAAATAACCAAGCATCCAAGCATCAACTTAAGAGAGGGGCAGTAGATTACCGACCCTGAGAAGTAGAGCAATTTCTATGCAACACAAAAATAGTCTACTCTAGAAACTTTGTAAACATTGTCGAAGTGATAGCACACATGCATTTGACATACTGGCGCTAATACTTGGTAATTCTAATTAAAACTAGTTTTAACGTTTAAGGGAAGCGGACATCCCGAGGATGAGACAACAAGAAATCACGATAACAGAAGAAAAAGAGGTGAACGCCTTTCATCAATAACACAAAAAAATACTGATATAACTTCTGACAACAAAACATCCCTGCCAGAAATATATACCAGAACCGAACACAGTGCAAAAACTGGCAAGCGATACGGCGTCAAACAACCAACTGATTCAACAATATGGAAGGTAAAAAGATCTTAATTATGGAATGACTCGAATATTCAGGACAGACTAACCAAGCATCACTTCTGACAGGAAAACAAAGTGATTTCCCCATTCCTTTTTCAGCAAAAATATTTGACACAACACGACAAAACTCGCAATTTAGGACTAATTCAGCAAAATTTCCGGATTTCCGGAAATAAAGAATGATTATGATAAAACATTAAAACAGCAAACCATTATGGCTAGAACCGACCGTAAACCGGAAATAATCTCATCTCCAACAGGGTGATGGGTCATTCATATCAGAAACGCAAACTGCTACCGAGTTTACAGCGAAGAAAGGTGAACGATACGATGCAAAACGTCCCGTTGAATCTGAATTATGGAAGGTTTGTTCGGCTTCATTTTAGGATAAGTATAGAAACGTGGGATTGATTGTAAT